TAGCAGTAAGTAGGCTCACTTTCCGCAAGTAATAATCCTTCCAAAAAAAAATATTTGGTCACTCAATCCACAATTGTTTATGGGACACTGCTGTGCGCAATTGCCTGCTGCGTTTCACCCACAAAATACACAGTCTATTCACTTTACAATATATTCCGTGGAACACTTTGAGATGTCTCAGCAACATGATAAGGAGCTATGTCAAATACAAGGATTCTTTATTATTATATTTTGCTTGTGCATTCTGGTGCCAGGCCAAAACCCCCCAATCCACCCTTTGTTTTATTTGAGATAGGAGATCAGATGAACTGTCCCTGTTACCACAATGGAATGGGGCTCTGCATGAAACTTTGATCATAATTGCCTGTGTAAACGGCTGGAATTACATCCGTGACTCTTTCAGCTCAATTTGATAGCTGGGGTCGTTACAGTTCATGGCAACCTGTTATCTTAACATTGTGCTCTTGGCAAATCAAATCCTCCTCCAAATACATCATATTTCACAAATGGCCACCTCAAACAACAGCAACTTTATATTTATTTATATGCATTAATATAGCACTCCTCCCACGGGCTAATGTCTCAGAGCACTTAAAGCAAAGAGACACTCCTTTGCTCCAAGCAAAGCAAACGGGTTAAAATCAGCCTAGGAAGTCACACCCCGTTGATGCATCCACACCGCTTTCAGATGCATTCTTCATTGCACTGGATGTTTCAGAAATTTAATACAGGGCGGCCCCAATATAATTTGATGCAATGGGCCGATGACCTCAGAACGACCCTCGAGTTAAAACAAAATGGGAAAAAAGTACTGCTTTTGGGTTTGATTCGGGCAGTACGATGCAATGCTTCAGGATATGAAATGCTATTACAGGTACTGAGCACACAGGTGCCTGCTGCCATAGCTTCCTGCACTTTGCAATTGCTATGTTTCCAATCCAAAGGAAAATACAATATAAGCTCAGGTCAGGTGCTTACTAACAGCATGGGCCTGGAATTACATATAATTTTATTAAGAAATACAGCAAATTAGTCCCATGAAATAAGTCTGTGGGCAGTGTGGATGCGAGGAAAGCTGCAGTTTTAAACTCAAAAGAAAGAACTTATCTGTCATTTGTAATCAATGTGTAAAGGAGTCCTGTAGCGTCATGGTTAGCATGCTTGCCTCGCAAGTGAGAGGACCTGGATTCAATTCCTGGCGGGACGAAACTTTAGGCAAGTTTCTTTATTCCACCCACCTCTATTTACTCAGCAGTAAGTAGGAATCTGGTTTTAGTCGATTGGCAGATTGCTTCCCAGAGGTTAGAATCCCTCCAGAAAACAAATTTGGTCAATCAATCCATGACTGTTTGTGGGACACTAATGTGTGCAATTGGGCTGCTGTGTTTCACTCACAAATACACTGTGAATTCACCTTACAATATATTCTGTGAAGAGCTTTGAGATGCAACAGAGTGGATGTAAGGCTGCACGACCGGGAGCTGATCAGACCCATAAATCACAGCATTTCCACAGCAATGGTCTTTACACAATGAGCTCAAGCCTCAATCAGATTAAATGAAAGTGGCTGGCAGCTTCCACCCAAGGCTTTGACTCAGTAAAACATGATGCCTCAGGATTTTGAGAGCTGGTTACAGCACTGAGCACAGCGACAGTCGGTGCAGGCAGACACGGGCTTTGGAAGACATGTCTGTGTTCAGAGTGGTTTAATCATTCCTTGTTTATTTCGCTGGCCTGTACTCTGATCGCACTTTGTGTATTGCTTTTGGTGCGGAGCAAGGGAGGGGGAGATTAACTTTACAGAAAGAGCCATGATCCCACTTAATCCTTTAGAATTTCTTTTACATAGAAATTTCAATGGTTAATAATGCAGACAGCCAGATCATATTGTTTGTGGGAAATTGCCTATAAAATATCCAGTGACACTGTTCAGGAGGATCACCTCTTACTCAGAATGTGTCTGGGACAGTGAACATCAGTCAGGACTGCCATGGTGATTTCTAGGTCTCTAAGGAGAGGGATCGACTATCCAAGTGAAATCCAAAATGATTTGCTCTATCTAAGCGTGCCCAGGAGCTTCATTCCTTCCTTGCAGATGATCTTTCCTTTTCCTTGCTTAAACACACCATCTATTTCATTGAGTTAAGCCTGCTCTTCCCATGCACTAGAGACACAGACATTGCATGTTCACCTTCATAATGGCTTCACATACCCCTGAGATGCAGCTGTTTAGCATAATTTGTTGATTCAGAGCCGGAGTCTCAGTAACCAGGGCTCAGGAGACACTGCAGGCAATCTGCACTGGCTTTAACACCTTGTTAGGAAGGAACCTGATTTCGGAGTATTCATGATGACATGATGGTTTATCATCAGGAGTTAGGAGGGCAGACAAGTCATTGGGGGCAGGGAATCATCCCTCTCAACCCCGCAAGCCAAACCTACATGTGTCAGAAACCCGGCTGAACAAAACAAAATTAGGAAGGAATCCGATCAAGCTGTTTGTCGTATTTGAAGAGGAAAAATGTTAATTCTGCCTAGAGATGGCTTTAATCCACAACAGCTTAACCTCTCAACATGGATATCACAGATAAGATGTTGATAGATATATTTCTTTCATAACTGAGCTCGTAGCAACAGACATTTGATGCCCAGGCTCTTTTGCAAATGCCTATGTTCACAAGAAACATCTGCCCTTTTCCCCTTCTCTCAGATGTCTTGAGACCAGCAGAGAGATGAGTGCTGCCTCTTGTATCTTCTCGGTTGATGGAGATGTGGTGTCACGGCTAAAGGGTGCAAATCCTGGACTGTCCAGTGCCTTGGGATGTTTTCCCAATGTGAAAGACGCTATACAAATGTAATTTGTGGTTGTTGTTGAAGGCAGATCAAAGGCTCAGTTTTGGTTTAAAAAAATAACTAAGTGAAACCTGCTTTGTGGTCTGTGGCCGAAGCGGCATCTGCGTGGCATGAAGACTGTACCCATGTGAGACTGTGTATGTAGAGCAGAGTGTCACGAGAACAAGATTACCTAAAACTTTTGCCAGAGTGATGCGGCCCTTTAAGAATCTTGAGCTGTCATGGAGTGAAACATTGTGATTCACAGTTAAAAAGCGAGTCAGTCACACTCCGTATTGTTGAGGCTTCAGAGTTGGAATAATTCACTATTAAAATATCACTGACTTCCTGAACGCTTGGGTTGTAATTTCTATAATGGGGTGGCGTTGTCGCAGCAATAGATCCTGCAAGGTACTCGCCACATTTAGAAATTAAGTGAAAGGTGAGACGATGCCCTTGGCAACACGATGCCATAATCTCCCATGGCAAAATGTTTACCTTTCAATATTCTTTTTAAGAATATTGAATTGTCTCACAGGCAATTACTGTGAAATCCAACAATTGTCTTTTTCTGAGCAAATGTGGAAGTCATTTATGCCAATAAGGTCCCACGTGAGGTGAATGACCTGGATGATTGCTGGTCGGGACATCAGGAGAAACTCTTTTTTCTCTTTCCAAACTACAATATTCACCTTCACAGTTGACAGGACCTTTAGTGTCTTATCTGAAAGACATACCCTTGACAGTGCATTGCATGGAAATTCCAGAGATAGATTTTTTCAATGGAATGCACACTCTATCCTTGGAGGGATGCATGCTGCTTACCTTTTTCCAGAAAGTATTAGGTGCAGGTTGGCAAGAGCTAAGGCTTGGGAACCCCAGAGTATGTGTTGTTTTTTTTGGGGAGTCTGACCAGCTAAAACCGCATAGTTTGCCATTGATATCACTGTCTGGCAAGCTTTCCCGCTGCTTGTTCAGCTAGGGCCGCCCTATCTATTAGGCCTTTGGCTTGCAGGGTTAACAGGATCTGAGTGGGATGATTCCCTGCATCCAGTGACTAGTTTGCCCTTCCAATCCTGCTGATGAGCCTGGCTGTGTTAGGCTGTCATCAACAGTGTACTAGAATACTGCGGACCCCCCTGGCTGAGGAACTGGGATACCAAGACCACCACAGAGGGCTTTGTCGATCAAAAAGAGAAGGCAATTTCTCCCGGTGTATTGATCAGTTGCCCCATACCTATTTGAGAGACCTTGCTGCCGCATTTTACTGCAGAAAGTCATCACATTTGACAATCATTAGCTGACGAGCAAACAAGAATTTGCAAAATTCTTTCATTGTCTTTCTTGATAAGGACTATTGGAGGATACAAACCAAGATATGGTGGTTCATAATCAAAATGCAATAACTAACCAGACTCAGTGATTCCAGTCTGAAGCTGCTGTGAGCTGTCTGTGCCCAGAATCCCATCTGTGCTTGTAACTCTGGGAGTGTTGTAATCTATTGTTGGGTGGGAAGAGAGACTTGGAATTGATGCCCCGGCTTTACTAATGGCTTGGCTCTGGATTTAATAGATGCCATTTCACCTGCAACAGAAAATGTGTTCGGAATAAAATGAGCAGCTGTTGCATGACACTGTCATGGCAATATTCCCTTCCTTAGCTTGTGAACTTAGCCACTCCAGCGTTCATAGGGGACATCTGTGGGCAACACCTCTCTCTCTCTCTCTCTCTCAATCAATCGTGGATGGAACGAGGGACGTTTAAAATGGAAGGACGAGCAATCAATGACATTGCATTCATTCTTTTATTGTTCAGCAATAGTAGCATTGGGGGATTAACACGGATCAGGGGGTAACAGCAGCACACATCTGGCTCGCCATCGAGAGCTACGGGGACGATGCAAAACAGGTGCCTGGGCAAGAGGGAGCAAAACTGCTGGTCCAGCCCGTCTGCCCACTTTGCTTTCTGTGGATCAGCTGCTGCTGCTGATGCAAAAGAGCGATGAGAGTCCAGAAGCCCGACTGCATCTGTGAATAATGCACGCACTGTGGCTGCAGGGGAGGGGGGGGGGGAGCCAGGGTTCGTTTAAAACACTCCACCATTGGCCAATCGGTTCTCCAGGCGTAAGGGAGAGAGGGGGGGGGCAGGCAAGGAGTCACTCTGCAGGGGCTGCCACTGTGTGCGGTGGAGAGTGGGGGTGGAGAGGAGAGAGAGAGGGTGAGCAGGAGTGAGCAGGAGCTCGCAACCCATTTCATTTCGCTTCGCAGACGAGCGCAGCAACACTGCACTTGCACAGCCGTGCAAAGGAGACGAGGTATGAAGACAACGCAGAGCACTGTGCGAGATGCTCTCTCTCTCTGTGTCTCTTTCTCTCTGTCTCTCTCTCTCTCCTCCCCCCGCCCCCCCCCTGTAAACACAGGAGAAAAGCTTTTTGTTTGCATCGTGCATGACTTGCTGCTCTGCAGGAAACCCAATGTAAAGTGCCTCGTCAGATATATATACACATATATATATATTTTTTTTAAAAAAATTCTGCACAACGTTCAGAGGCGGATGTAATTTCCTTTGATTGAATTTCTCCCACTTTGCTTCAGTGCAGTTTCTTGTCGGAAGAACTGTTAAAATATTTCCTGGCTGTGATGCATTTATTCTGTGATTGTGTGTGTTAATGTGTGTGTGTGTGTGTTTATGTGTGTGTGTAAATGGAGGGATGGCAGGTGAAATGCAAGAGCAGGGTTGTGTGAGGAGGCTGCATTTTGAACTGTTGAGGCTGTGTGTGTGGGTGGGGGATGAGTGATACCCATATCAGTGACACTGGGTTCCACAAGGCTGCTTATTGATGCTGAATATTTAATAACACAGCCACAGCTTGAGAGGATGCAACAGAGAGATGGTGAGATGTGCCTGTCTGTGTCTTTGTATGTTGGGAGTGGGTGGGTGTGGGGAAGAGGCAGGCTGGGGGGGGCACAGAGAGGGAGGGATATTGTGAGTTTTCCTCCTTTCCAGCGCCTTAGAGGCATGGAAATCAATTTAAGATGGTCACGGCCTCTGGCTTGGCTTTCATTCAGATGTTAGGCATTGTTATCACAATGTTCAGGAAACCAGGACTGACATCAACAATAAGACAGGGTTTACCTCAATCTCACCGCTCCCCCATCTAAAGATAGGAAATCAATTATTTCACTCAATAATACGTCAAGTGAACCACTATATTCCTGGGTCAGCAGAACAAACGGTTTCTCTTGTGTCTCCTGAGCAGGTATTGCTTGTGTTTGGCTGAGGGGGGGCGGCAGGGGTTGTGGAGACATCTGTCTGTCTGTCACACCAAACACAGCACAACTTCTTCCAACTCACTGCAACAAGCTGCCTGAGGCGTGGGGGGGTGGGGGTTTGGGGAGGGAGGAGATGTGCTCTGGAGGCTCGATTCGAGCTGGAGATACTGGAGTGTGCTGGCCTCTTCCAACAGGAATCCGATTTCCATCCTGCCTCTTGGAGAACAAGTTTGCATTTGCACAGAAATGGTAGTTTTGTGCCATCCCCAGAAGCGAACAAATGCTCCCTCACATACTGCCCTCTGCCTCCTCTCTCTCTCTCTCTGGGCCGTGTGGTGCCCACACACAAACTTAGTGCATTGTGCCAATGTTGTGCTGGAGTGGGACCTGAGTCTGGCGATGGACACACTCTCTGGTAGCTCTCTAATACTTCCCTCCTATGTGGCCTCTGCTTGGCACTGGCTCTTTGAGGAGCACTGGTCAGACTTCTTATCACACAGAGTGCTGGGCTAAGGCAATGCTCCATGTCTCGACACAACCTGGTCAAGCGCCCATAGCGTGGCTCCGTGTGCACATTAGCTAACAGAGAACCAGTCACTACAATCTGTACAGCATGTGTGAGCCTCAGTGTGATACACCAGTACACGACAACAGGTGATACACAGTCAGGGGTAAGGTTTGTGACATTTCACTCTGAGTACTTTGTGCAATACGAAAGTGACCAGACTTTACCATCCGTGTGATGTGTGGGCCACATGGCCCAGAGCGAGAGACCTGTAATTTTGTTGTTGTTTGAGGACAGGATTATTGTGACGCTGGAGGAGAGAGAGGGTGGGATTGCCAATGGAGCGTCTCGGATCGGAACAGTAGTTGCATGAATTTCCCTTATGTATGGAGTCGGTCTCCTGTACAAATTGCTCTCCAAGGTACTGATCCAAATGCACTTTGACGCCACATAGCCTCTGCCTGTTTCACTGATGGATGTTGGAGCCCCCTGAAATTCTCCTAATCAGCTACCAGCTCAGTAATGCAGACCAGGGAAACCTCTGGACTACATTAATAGCACCAGTACCACAGCACCAAGTCTGGACCTCACACGCTCGGTGCTTTCAGCACAATGAGTCACACTTCCTAGCAGAGAGTGTGGGGGACTCCTGTACTGATGCTCAGTGAATGCGAGGGTCACCTTTATTTATTCTCTCAGTGAGTAAATGGACTGTGAGGGTCTTCTGTACTAATGCAGGGAGTAAAGGGGTCTCTTGAGCAGACGAGTGTGGCACTGGTGCTATTACTGTAGTACTGAGGTTTCCCTGCACTGCCTTACTGAGCTGGCCGCTGGCTGGGAGAGTTTCAGGGGCTCCCACTGTGGAATCCCAGGGCTGCTGCCAATAGTTTGAAGCAAGTTTGTTGCTCTGAAGGTCTCGGGTTTCCCGGAGCATGCAGGATTGTTCACTGATCCGGTGAAGCTCTCTGGAGAGGAGAGAAGCTGAGCTGTAAACAGCCTTCAGTGAGAAAGCCATGAACCAGGCAAACCTAGTGCTCAATCCACCAGCTCTCAATACTGTTCAATAGTGCCTCTGGATTGGGGCAGGGGAGGGGGAATCTCATTGCCACAACCATTTAATGAATCTTAATGGCTAAGATGGTCTGCAGGGGAAGAGGTGCTGTGTTTTAATGTGCTTCCATTGCCTTTTGAGTTACCTTGCTGGAGGATGTGATGCTGCTTGCATCTGTACTGCAACGAGATGTATGTGGCGAGGGAAGTCTGATTTATCCAATACTCTCCTGTTCTATGTCAGACCAGGACATAAAAAGACCGACACTTGATGTGCAATCCACCCCTATTGAGTGTTGGTATTCAATGTTTGTCAAAGAGTAGCTGTCTGCTGACACAATGAGAACGCACAACCCACTCAACACTCCCCCACCCCCCTCAGAGTAAATACGTGGACCAAGAGGATGATAATAATAATATTCCTTGCATTTGATGTAGTGCCTTATCACGTTGTTGAGGGGTCTCAAAGTACTTCATGGAATATATTGTAAAGTGGATTGACTGTGTATTTTGTGGGGGAAAGGTGCCAGTCAATTGCACATAGCAATATTCCACAAATAGTGATGGATTGAGTGACTCCAATTTTTTTTGTTGAGGAATTATTACCCCCAGAAAGCAATCCGCCAATTGACTAACAACCGGGTTCTTATTTACTGCTAGGCACACAGACGTGTGAAGAAAAGAAACCTAAGGTTTCACCTCGGCCTGGAATCGAACCCGGGTCCTCTCACTTGCGAGCGCGCTAACCACTGTGCTACGAAACTCCAATGGGGTCATCTGTCAATCTGTGGCTAGATCTGGTGGGGAGGAGGGGCCCCAATTTACATCTTTTAAATTTGAAGCCCATGTTCTGTACATTAAAAAAACGAGCAGAAAACAGGCTTCAGAATTAAGATTGAATTTAAGAACTGTTCAAAATTTGCATCTTCCAAAAGAATAACAAAAAGTTCTAAGTCTCTTACCCAGAGCCAAACCTCAGTGTAAACCCAACTATCCAGAGAGCATCTGTTTTAAGAAAAAGTATAGTGAAACTCTGATAACTTGTCATCCCAAGAAAAATAGCTCAAATAGCTACTTATCAGAGTCAACTAGTTATCCCAAGTACAGTATCTCGAAAGTACTCAATCACTGAAATAGCTGGGATATTGAGTGAGTGACTGTACACATTATCCTGAAGTGAGTTATCAGAGTTTCACACATATATATAGTTGGTCTAACAATAGAATAAAATATTGTTTGGCACAGTGCATTTTGAACAATAGCTTTTCCCCTCTGGCAATTGTTTGAATCCAGTCCAGACTGATGGGGTAAAAGTCTGTTATCAATACTCAGCCAGTGTGAAGCTCTCATCCACTGGTCTAAATTGCGCACTTAGCATTTTCTGGAGGTGGCAAGGATTGTAACTTGGACAAGTTGCTATTTGATCTCCGGTGTGCAGCTTTGGGCAGCACCTTTAAAACACATTGAGGTAAGAGTTCAGAGAGGAGTGAAGCAAGCTTCTGAACTTGTTCTTGGTAAGGAGGAGAGCCCAGGGAAACTAAACTTGTTTCCATTGGTGTTGAGAAGATTGAGGGGGACACGGTTGTGTGTGGAAATAACATCAGCACCGGTTCATCTCTTTTAATTCCCCTCCTTCCCTCCTACACCCCCTTGCTGGGGGAATATAATAATAATAATCCTTGCATTTGATATAGCGCTATTCACGTCGGGAGGACGTCCCAAAGCGCTTCACAGAACACACTGTAAAGTGAATTAAATGCGGCAGCCAATTGCGCACAGCAATGTCCCACAAACAGTCGTAGATTGAAAATGACCAATTTATTATTGTTTTCTTTTTGGAGGGATTATTATTAGGCTCTGTGTGGAGTAAGGAAACTTGCCCAAGGTTTCGCCCTGCCTGGAATTGAACTCAGGTCTCTTGCTTGCAAAGCGAGTGCTCTAACCATGAGCTACAGGACTCCACGCTCGTAGCCTCAGATTGGCAGGGCAGATGTACAAATCTCTTTGTGGGACACTGCTGTGTGCAATTGGCTGCTGCGCTTTGCCCACAAATATACAGTCAATTCACTTTGCAGTATATTCTGTGAAGCGCTTTGAGACGACCAAGAGACACGAAAAGTGCTATATCAAATGCAAGCATTATTACTATTACATAGAATTACATAGAATGTACAAGCATATAAATAGGCCATTCGGCACAACTGGTCTATACTGGCGCTTATGCTCCACATGAGCCTAAATGAGGCTAATAATTATTATTATTGTGAATATAGTCCCTCTGCTGGATAAATGCCTCTTTTAGAGGCTGATTGACATCAACTTTCACATCATGTGGCCTTTCCCTGATGCACTGATAGGTGTTGGAGATATCACAGGAGTAGATCTCAGGAATAGATCTCCCTAACCCTACAACAAACCAAGGACCATGGTGACCAACCTCCCTGCCCTCATCATTATTATTTAATGTTGGTTTAGATTTATTTGCCT